ATCCTCTCGAACGTGGAGCAAAAGTCAACCCTTAACTCAAACCTCAATCACAATTTCTCTCACGTCAGACAAAGCGTGGTGACATAAAATTTAATCTCATAGAATTTAACGTCTAATAACTCATGTTTCTCCGTTTTGGGGTCAAATTCACATATTTATACCCAAAAACACATTTCTACATCCGTGATACTAACACGCTTTGCTGTCAGAAGCAGAAAAACAGCATAGAAGCGAACACAGACTGTGGTGGCGGCTCCAAACACTGAGACAGACTGTGCACTGATTCCTCGTTTTGGTTGCTCCTGTCAATCACTTCTTGGAGGCGGGGCTTCAGGAGCTCAAGCTACAAGTGAGAGTGTGGCACGTAACGAAGTGAAGTGAATCAGGTCGTTTTTGGGCCTCTGGAGAATGAAAGAGAAAGAACACTCTCTAACAAAAGCTTGAGGGAAGCAATGAAAAAACTACTCTGGACATGTGTATGAAGCCAAATAGCGCTGTAATCATGTTTAAACCAGAGAAAAGTCAAAAAAATCTTGCTGCAGTGTCTCTTTTCTGTTCCACTCTGGAGGCAGTTTTCACAATGTTTGCGTTTTGCACAGTGGGGGCGGGTCCCAGCTCAAAAATGACCAAAATGACGTGCGCTGACATGCTGCAATACCACCCCGGGCCAGTAGGGGTGGACCCGGAATAACAGTCTATGGTTTTCACCTAAAACACCGTTATATTGTCATGTTTAAAACTCTATTGTCTGATGTAGGATGATTAAGAGGAGTAATATGTAAACTGCAAGGTTCAGCTCCATCCAACCCCTGTTCACGATGTTAATGTTTGTTCTGTGAAATTGTTTTTTCTGATTTAAATAAATAATGTTAGTAATATAAACATCGACAGACCACATCACAAGGTTCCAATTAAAATGGCGTTCTGAAAGGTGAGGTTGGCATTGAGACGAGCGTCAGATGCAAGGCGAGGGAGTGTCCTTGTCTGATGCTGGGGCTTTGAGAGTCCGAGGGCTGCTGCTTATTGTGTCCACCGTTTGGCCTTTATCTCCCATTCTTCTTCTTCACATACTGTTCTTTGTTCCTTTTCTGCCGCCCTCTTTTCTACCCGCCAAAAAGATTCAAAGTTGAAGAACAACACCCTAAATTAGTATGTAAATGACCCAAGGCTGGTCAAGTTCGGAAAAATCAGCTAAAACATATAAATAATTAGGGTCTTTAATATATTTACACTTTCATTTATGCATTTCTAAAAACACTCTCTGCTGTAAGTTACATTTCGGTTTAATGTTCACCTCAATCTGCTCTTGGTGGGAAATGGCAAATGTTTTGAGGATTCTGGTTCACATTATTTCTCTGAGCGTGAAATGAGTTAGATTTTCCCAAACCTAATATTTATCAAATAAAAGCACTCCCAACATCAAAAATGAAAGTTTGATGCAATAAAAATTACTTGTTTCTCAATGAATAGGACACATTCCTTTCACTTTTGCATCCAACCTTCAAAACACAGAACTTTTGACTCAAATGTGACCTTTGTTTGAAACAAAAATGAATTTCAACTTTGTGTCAAGTTTCTGAATTATAAAGCATAATAGTGCAATAACTGAAAATACACCTGGGATGAAATGAGCAAAAAATAAAAGATTCAATTACAAAGCGGAGAACACCCACTTTGTACAGAACTTTAAAGTAGCAATGTGTAAAATGTTCATGTCTTGTCGTCATTAAAGGGCCCTAATCTGTCAAAATGCATTAATAAAACCTGTTCTTTTCCAATACTTCTTTAACTGATAACAGTAGTTCAGAGATATTTGAATTTCTAAATTACTTTTCCAGCCTCTAAATCTTGTTATTGTTTTCATTTTGATGTCCCGCCCTCCACCGTTTCACCAATCAGAAAGTCTGTGATCCGGGCGCCAGAACTCACCGCGTGGAGCTAATCTCACTGGTAAAGTACCATGTGGCGCAGAACTAAAAAAGGTCTCGTTATGATTCTCAAATCATTAACGACAAAACAAGGAATAAAACCAGGATTTCTATCTTTGTGAAAAAGGTGTTGGTTATAGATTTGTTGTTGACAAAACTCTTGTCTATTCAGCTGTTATGGTCCCAGCTGGATTCGTCTGCATATCTGGCAACCTGAGAGAGCAGTACCACTTTTGGACCGATTTTTACATATTGCTCCTTAAAAGTGTAGAAGGGATTTAACACTGGGTCACACAGACCATGTCAGGGAAGGAACTCCTTCTGCTGAAAGTCATGCAGCCTAATCCAGGACAAAGCACAAACATGTGTTTCAACTTTGTGTGAAGTTTCTAAAATGGCTTTTTCACTTGACTTCTTTTGGGACGTTGCCTCTCGTTCTTCCTTTTGCCTATCCCTGGCCTGGATCCCACCTCTGCCACCACATGGTGAGACCTGGCACAAGTGTCAGAACGCATATTTAAAGTGTATAAACCAGATTTTTTTCCAAAAAGTTTCTCTACCCACTAAAATGTCTAAGATGAAGAGGAATGAAAATCAAACATAATACATAAGAGTGATGACTGAAAGTAAACGCTGTGCCCTGGGACTGTACACGAGGCTTTAGGACACAGCCGCCCCACTGTGGCACCTGGGGTTCACACAGGTTAAGTGTCTTGCCCAAGGACACAACGACAGCAGACATCAGTGGGAGTCGGTGGAGAAAGTCTTGAATTGGGCTTGAACCCACGACCTTCAGGCCCAAAGGCCAGGGCTCTACCAACTGAGCCACTGTCACCCCAAATTAAAAAGGGGAAAAAAAGTTTGTCACAGAAAAGTAAAACATTTAAAAAGTGTTGAAGTGTTGGTGAATTGTACCTCTGGGTCAGACGTGTGAGGGAAGAGGAGCTTTCTTTGCTTTTTAACCAATTCATGCAATCTACACCGGAGGAAGTCGCAATTACTCATGGAACCACCATTTCAACTTTTATGAAGTCTCTCAAATAAGCTATTTTACTTAAATTTGATCAATTTGGAACTTAAGTAGTTAGAGTGGGCGGCGTGATGGTGCTGTGGTTAGCATTTGTGCTTGGGTTTGATCACATCTCCATTCTGTGTGGAGTTTGCATGTCTCCCAAAGTCTGTGTAGGTTTCCTCCAGGTGCTCCGGTTTCCCCTTCCACTAAGAACATGTACAATAGGTGAGGGTTGAATGATTGTGTGTTTGTGAGTTTTAAATGTGATGTATTTGCTGTTCATTAAAACACACTGTCAAATCCAAAAGTCCAAAAACAAATCCCACGAGCTGTGAGTTCAGAGCAGTGTGAAAACAGGAAAAACACTTTCAATCACGGACAACTTGATTTTCTAGATTCAGACCTTACTTTATGAATATGACCTTCAGAGTACTAGTGTCAGAAATATTCCAATTGTTCCTCACAATTGGAAAAAAATATTTTTTCCTGATAGAGGTAATTGAAATTGATCACACAAAGAAAACACTTTTGTCCAAAGGGAAAATCCATGTCTGTTCAGTCCTGCCTCATGTAGAACCTCTAGGTTTAATAGTAACTCCATATAAAAAGTAAAAATGTCATTTTGATTGATTTCCCACTTGTGTGTTGAAGATTACATGCTGGCATCTCTTTTCATGAGCAGAAGTACATGGGTTCAGGTAATAATTGATACTTTACTGAAATACGATCAAAGAAACCATTCAACATTTTACAATAAAACAAGAATAAAAATCCTCAATTGGCTTTTTGTCGCCAACTCGTAATAAAATATACGACACCATTCATCTAAGTGTACGACGTGAACGGTGGCAGGAAGCCATAACAATCCCCATCCGCCTCAATAATGGACAACTTCAGAGTGCCAAACTTTAGAATCTCTTTCAAGTTCACCCTGCCATTCACAGCAGTATCACAGAACTCACTCAAGATGAAGAGGAGAGCGGAATCCTCAAACAGGTGAGGAAGGCCCCGGGGACTGCTGGGAAAGCTCCATACTCAGATACATATACTCTATACACGCAAATAATATACATCACAGATTATAGAAATCATCCACATTTTTACATGTTGGTGTTTTGATACCACAGAGCAAAAATATACTTCTGCAAATGTGTTTGATTCTGCTTCGAGAATCGTATAGAATTGTGCGATATCTTCACGGTCATAGGCCTGATATGACCGTGGACTCAAACACACCACAGTTTGTCCTCGACTTTAGGATCCACAAGTATTCGTTAACACTACACAAGAATATGCAACCTTCAAACAAACCTCATTTATTATCCTCACATTATTCTAATAAAATTCTTGGTTCTAGGGTGGTTAAGCAACTTTTTACCTGCCCTCACAATGACTATTACTCGATCAAAAAATGGGCTGACATCTGTATTTTTCTGTCTGTCTCTGTACAGTATGTAAACATAGTGGTGGCATGTGCACTCCGTGGTTAGCAAACAGTATAAGTTAGCGTGGATAATCTCTGGTTAGACATTATGTTTGCCAAAAATGTATGGAGGCGAATCTCTTCAGTCCAAAATACGAAACTGATGGAGGTGAAAGTAAATGTTGGAGCAATCACGTCATGATAGAAAAGACTAAATTATAACAAGCTAGGCCTTTAAAAACTTGAAGCGGTAGGTATTGATCACCATGCATGAGCCTAAATGGTGATCAGCATTTATATGAAAGATTGAGTAAAACAACAATATAGCTTTAACTTATTGACTGCCAGCCGTTTTTGATGATTTCACAGATTGTCAAGGCCCACAGAATATTTTGGGCTATGACTATGTGGAAGTTTGAGAGCAGGTTCTGAAAGACTGGATTGTCTACTTTCATCAGCAAAAATTAGTTTGTTTCTAGCTATTTTTTTTCTCCTTGAATCCCCAGTCGAATAGAGGGAAAATTCTCAGGAAATTCCGTCAATGCCAGTCAATGAGTTACTGGATGTTATACGTTTCCAGTTTTCGAGAGAATACAGATTTTTCTTTGCGAAAACACCAAAGCGGCCTGCTCAGTACTCACCCTAACGTTGTCATTGTCACAATCGTGTACCAGAAGGATGCCGGAATGCTGGTAAACTTGCTTGAGCTGGATCCTTTCTCGGCGTAGAACATGACGGTGGCAAAGATGATGATGGCCATAGTCAGCGAAAAGAGCAGGAACCCCAATTCAGAGGCGCAGCTTTTGAGCGTGTACCCCAAGATCCTCAGGCCCTGCGAGTGCCGCGAAAACTTGAAGATTCTGAAAACTCGAAACACTCTCAACGTGACGAACGCCCCGCTCACGTCTTCGTTGTTGCTCATCACCAGGCCTATGTAGTACGGCAAGATGGCCACCACGTCGATTATACTCATGACAGAGCGCATGAAGCGGTATCGGCTCGGCGCGGCGAACAAGCGCAGCAGGTATTCGACGGTGAAAATCATCACGCAAGCTGTGTCCATGCAAAAGAAGGCCACGGTGTACCTCTCGCCACACGGCATGTTCTTCTGATGGGCAGTGGAGCCGCAGGGCACGGTCTCCACGACGTTGGTGATGACCGATGCCGCGATGAAGAACCCGGTGACGTAGTAAAAGACAAGCGCCATGGTGGAGGTGTGGGGGTTTTCGAACGCCCGCCACATGGTCTGACGAACGCTCATGTTAGGCAGCTTTGCGTCCTTGTTCTCGTCTTGGTCGTCCTGAAGCCTGTCCAAGTTCTCCCGTTTTCGGTCTTTGTACTCTTCGTAGCAGCAGTCGCCAATAATTTCTGGAATGATGCCAAAGAATGTAAGCTCTTCGTCATAGGAGGAGATGCACTCGTGGCGTGGGTAGTGCAGTTTGCCTGTCCGGTAAAAGTTTAGGATGCTTCGAAAGACATCAGGATCGCGGTCAAAGAAATACTCCTTGGTTTCCTCGTTGAAAAAAAAGTCCTTCTCCGAGCTTCCCAGTAGTGTGTCAGGATATCGGTCCAGCGTGGTTCTCCAGGTCTGGAATCTGCGTCCGCTAACATTGAGCATGATTAGCTCGTCTTGTTTCTTGCTGTTGTCTAATGGGGCCAGTGGCATGGGGCAACTGGCTACAGGCATCCAGCCTATTGCGGCTGCTCGGGCAAAAGGAAACCATGCAGCGGCTCCCGTCGCCATGGTGAACACGTCCTCTTCACCGCTCAGAGCAGGAAACGCTCAAGTGTGACATCTGAAAGGAAAAACATGTTAACTGCAATGTTAAGTAGAGATTAACCCAGTAACAGTGTAATCAATACTACTGCTACTGCTACGACTAATAATGCATCGGTTTTATATAGCGCTTTTTTGGACGCTTCACTGTATTCATTTACTCCATATACAGTGGTGATAAACTACTACTGTAGCCATAGATGCCCTGGGGCACACTGACAAAAACGAGGCAACCAGTGCGTGCCATAGACCCCTCCCACCACTACTTACCATTCACACGCACACTAAACGCATTCTAATGTGTGTGAAGTGTCTTGCCTAAGGACACAACCACAGTTCAGATTCAGATTCAGTTTATTTGCCATTTGCAGTAAAAAAAACCACATTGACTAAGTTTGGCACTTTACAGCTGCAGCCGCCCCACTGTGGCACCTGCTGTTCCCAGAGGTCTCCCATCACAGCACTAACCAGTCCCTGCCCTGCACAACTTCAGTGGTCTGATAGGATCTGGCTTTCGCACAGAGGTATGGTAATTTGTGTTCAATTCCGTTCACACTGTAGGACCATGTATTATTTGAAGTAAACTCTCCAAAGCATATACCAAAAAGTCAAAAATATTAAATTGTGAGCTCTTCTGTAAACATGGTCACAATAATCAAAGTTATGTCACTTTTTTTAAAATATTGTAATATCTTTCACTGGAAAAAAAGTGTCACGCTGTCCCAGAACAAACAGAAACTTTAACAACAGCTACTCCATGGACATGTGATTGGTGTCTGCTTAAGCACGTGTGTAATCCTCTGTGTTTTCGCACATGTTTACAGCGTAATTAATAATGTGCATTGGTTTGTATGAGCCAATCAAATAAGACAAATAATGACACCAGCCCTACTTCAAAACAGAAACTTACCCATACTTGATCAGAAGCTAACTCCAATCCCCCAGCACCAAGGTGTGTAGAATCTGTCACTACAGGAGACCGGGGACAAGACTCATCCAGAAGCTCGGGCTGCAGTTCCACTCATGTTGACGGTCTTTCGGAGAGAGTCGAGCCCACAAAAGAAACCCTGAATGTGCGTAATTGAGAAGAAAAGACCTGAGAGCGTCCGCGCCTCTTGATGGATCCTACATTGTGCCCACGCCGTGCATCGCAGCCACAGCGTGTTGGAAAGTGAAATGCAGAGAGAGGCAGAGCGCGGTCACCAGCCCAGGCGTACGCTCCTCTTCCTCTCTCTCTCTTTGTGCAAATCCTGTGCCTCAGTTGTCAGTGTGTCGGTCTATACAGGCAAGATACAGGATTCATGAATGCATATTTGATACAGTATACAATTCAATGACCTTTTCTCTTGCCGTTTTTTTTGCCATTATACACCAATTTTATCTTAGCTCTGCAGTATTTTGAAGATGATTAAGAGATCCTTTATTTGTCCCACAGTGGAGAAATTTCGGTGTTGCATCACAAGTTATAGAACAGTAGGAAAGAGGAGCACACGTAACCTGAACAGTAGCTGTCCTAATTAAAATAAAACAAAAACTCTAACTCTAGCATCAATAATAAGTATAAAAACTCTATCTTGAAAATAATAATACATGTACAAGTTTAACATTATATATAAAGTATAAAGTACTGTGTATTCTAGTGCAAGTAAAGAGTGGTTAGCATCTGTACATTAGCAGCAGTATGTTTACACCTGTACATTAGCAGCAGTATGTTTACATCTGTACATTAGCAGCAGTATGTTTACATCTGTACATTGGCAGCAGTGTGTTTACACCTGTACATTAGCAGCAGTATGTTTATATCTCTACATTAGCAGCAGTATGTTTACATCTGTGCTTTAGCAGCAGTATGTTTACATCTGTACATTAGCAGCAGTATGTTTACACCTGTACATTAGCAGCAGTATGGTAGCATCTGTACATTAGCAGCAGTATGTTTACACCTGTACATTAGCAGCAGTATGTTTACATCTGTACATTAGCAGCAGTATGTTTACACCTGTACATTAGCAGCAGTATGTTTACACCTGTACATTAGCAGCAGTATGCTAGCATCTGTACATTAGCAGCAGTATGTTTACACCTGTACATTAGCAGCAGTATGTTTACATCTGTACATTAGCAGCAGTATGTTTACATCTGTACATTGGCAGCAGTATGTTTACACCTGTACATTAGCAGCAGTATGTTTATATCTCTACATTAGCAGCAGTATGTTTACATCTGTGCTTTAGCAGCAGTATGTTTACATCTGTACATTAGCAGCAGTATGTTAGCATCTGTACATTAGCAGCTGTATATTGCACATTCCGGTATAAGAAGTTACTAACCCTATAACCACAGACATACAGTATACAGCAGGTGTCAAAATCCATTCATTCAAACAAGCATTTTTGTTTAACATTCTGCATTTTCCCAGTGCAGAAAAGCACAACGCTCACGATCAGAAAGAGCACAGGACGTAGCGGCTCTTGTATCACAACAAACACACACACGCATACACAAACACACACGCATACACACACACACACACACACACACACACACACACACACACACACACACACACAATCCTATCTGGGGACCGCTGGACCAGCCGTGAGGACTTTCAAAGACCGGCCTTGTGTGTGCAGACAGGCTGCCTATTGATGGACCACGGTTCAATCAGATGTGTGCATGAAGTTTTTGGCCATATCGGCTAAAATATTCATGAACGGAAGCTGAACTGTTTTGAAGTTTTCGCAGTTTTCTCAACAGGGCAGCGCTTTTGGTTAGATCAATAAAGGTCCTGCAGGGCTGCGCAGTGTTTTAATGGAAATATTTCAAGGTCTGGAGTCAGGAAAGAGAAGGGAACGTGTGTAGTTTATCCAAATGATTGTTACTGAATACTGCAATAACACAACAATGTATGTAGGACAACAACAATACAACAACAGTGGATTGACCGATGAAATCTCAGGTAGTAATAGACTATAACTGACTATAACTCCCTCTGTGTATCCATAGCTATCACAGCACGTACTGGACTTTAAACACTTTTTACTTTTTACTTTAGAATGTTCTGGAAAACGACAGCAGGTGCTAAGTGTGTCTGAAACAGTTTTTGTTTTGTGTTTTATACATTTTATTTTTCTTTCTTTTTTCTACCTGAGATGTTGCTGCAGTTCAGTGTTCATGGTTTTACAGTGGTCCAGACAGAGAGGATTCATGGTTTTACACTGGTCCAGACCAGAGCAGAGAGGATTCATGGTTTTACACTGGTCCAGACCAGAGCAGAGAGGATTCATGGTCCGAACCAAGTGGATCGGGTGAAAATCCACTGGAGAAATGCTAATGAACCATTCAGCATTTTACTTTGGACTAGAGCAGAGAAAATGGTCCGAACCAAGAGGCTACTCCACCTCTGCTACTGTGACCCGTCCTGCTCCACCCAGAGACTACTCCAGCCTCCACATTTATCCTCGGTTCGTCTCCATGAACTGGGAAGGCCCCTTTTGTTATGTGTGTGTGTGTGTGTGTGTGTGTGTGTGTGTGTGTGTGTGTGTGTGTGTGTGTGTGCGCGTGCGTGTGTGTCCCTGTGTGTATTTAAACCCTGTGCTCCTCTCCCCTTGTTGTTGTGTTTTTGTCCCTGTTTTGTCCCGGTTTGAGTTTTAAGTTCTGTATCCCGGATTTTGTTTTTTAAATCTTATACTTTGGCAGTCCTGCATTTTGAGTCCTTCCTCCTTTTCAGAACGTGACAACTTCAGAGTCACGTATTTCTGAAAAGGGATGTATTTAAAAGAGAATCTTCATTACTCACTGTTTGTTCGATCCTTGTTTTTTCCCAATACTTTTACTCATGAGGCATCGTCCAGTTTGTATCATCCATAGCAACAGCTGTTATAGAGAAATTAGTTTAATCCTTGCGTGGCTGTTGGACCAAGGCCAGATCTTGTGAGTCCCAGCCTTGAACTAAAAACACAAAATATTGCATCAAACATTGATTTCTTCATGAACCCAACGATAAAAATGCAGTCAGTGATTTTTTTTCCAGATGTATTTTTTTAAATATTTTGGGGAAAACATCCCTATACCCTAAAAGTAGTTAAGTTATTATCTAAACTATTTGATCTAAAACCTAAAATGGCTGAACAGAAAATGCCAATTTAACGTTTGCTTCACTCTCCCTGTTGTGACAAAGAAAAGCAAATGCTGGATGTTTGGTTTGGTGGAGAGGGAGGGGAGGGGGGAGTGGTTTCCAGTTGGTGCTACGGCTAAGCTAACAAAATCACTAACTGCACCTTTAAGGCCTGCTCATTATAGTGACTTTTCAATCAGTCGGTTTAGTGGGGGCTGCACTGTGGGATGTGTTATCCGAGGGCTTGCAGGTGAGCAAAATGAGAACGCTTATTATTGTAATCTTTTGAGCACTGTTGTCAGTGTCGAAGTGTCGAGTTCCAGAACTCCCTCAAATACACAATAGAAAGTTTAAATCAATAAACAGACCAATGTCATGCAAACACGGCATGACATTGTTCTACTTACTTTGTGTCGGTATCCTTCTGGTGCTCCGGTTTTTCCAACCACGAAAAACTTCTAAAATAGGGCTGAATGTTGTGAGTAAATGGATGGTGTTGGTTGGAAGCCTTGATGGACCAGTGTGTTCGGCGTGTTGTTTCCGTCATCATCGTTTGTGGAGAAAATGGAAAAAATGAAGGATTTTGAAACATTGTAAAGTGCTTCGGGTGACCTTGTTCTGTACAATGTAAAATCGACAGTAGCTCAGTTGGTAGAGCATTGGCCTTTGAGCCTGGAGGTTGTGAGTTCAATTCCCACCATGGGACCTACTCCAACTGCTCCCACTGATGTCTACTGTCGTTGTGTCCTTGGGCAAGACACTTAACCCCACGTTGCCTGAAGCCCCCCGCTGAAAGACCAAGGCTGTTTCACCCCTGACAGAGCAGCCATCTTCCTGTGGACTCACCCCCTGCAGAGGATCAGAGGGACTGGTGCTATGAGCATTGGGGGCAGCTCTCATTGCCACCCCCCCGACCCAGAAATGGACAATAAAGGGCTTGAAAAAATGAATGAATGTTCTGTAAAATGTGCAATTAAAAAAAAAAAACCATTACTTAATTACTTACAATGCATTTATACAATAAGTTACTGTGTCAGTAAGGAATCTTTATTTATATGGAGTCTCTCACAGGCTAGACATGTTTTGGGTGGTAGGGGAAACCGGAGCACCCAGAGGAAACCTAATCAGACACGAGGAGAACATGCAAACTGCACGTCTGAAGGAGGAATAAAACCTCCTGGCTGTGAACGCAAAAACAAACCACTGTGCTTAATGCCAAAATGTTCAAAAAAATATCAGTACACACACAGGTACATTTTATATTTTACGAGCACAAAATGTCTTCATAATTTTATACATTTCAACAATCTTCTCATTCAAATAAATACCCATCATCAAGTATTTACAATCACTGCCCTGAACCAAAATTTTGGACAAAATGTTGACCATAAACCCAGGCCAAACCATCTTGTACTCTCTGACTTCACCACACTCCAAATGCTGCCCATTGTTTGTTCGAGCATGGTCTCGTGTCGAGTGTGTGAAGTGCTCTTGGAGAAAGTTTGGAAGAAGACGCTGTTGTCTTTCCCTCATCTCAAACCAGTGTGCAATCAACATGTAGCTCCACACGCAATCAACATGTAGCTCCACACGCAATCAACATGTAGCTCCACACGCAATCAACATGTAGCTCCACACGCAATCAACATGTAGCTCCACACGCAATCAACATGTAGCTCCACACGCAATCAACATGTAGCTCCACACGCAATCAACATGTAGCTCCACACGCAATCAACATGTAGCTCCACACGCAATCAACATGTAGCTCCACACGCAATCAACATGTAGCTCCACACGCAATCAACATGTAGCTCCACACGCAATCAACATGTAGCTCCACACGCAATCAACATGTAGCTCCACACGCAATCAACATGTAGCTCCACACGCAATCAACATGTAGCTCCACACGCAATCAACATGTAGCTCCACACGCAATCAACATGTAGCTCCACACGCAATCAACATGTAGCTCCACACGCAATCAACATGCAGCTCCACACGCAATCAACATGCAGCTCCACACGCAATCAACATGTAGCTCCACACGCAATCAACATGTAGCTCCACACGCAATCAACATGTAGCTCCACACGCAATCAACATGTAGCTCCACACGCAATCAACATGTAGCTCCACACGCAATCAACATGTAGCTCCACACGCAATCAACATGTAGCTCCACACGCAATCAACATGTAGCTCCACACGCAATCAACATGTAGCTCCACACGCAATCAACATGTAGCTCCACACGCAATCAACATGTAGCTCCACACGCAATCAACATGTAGCTCCACACGCAATCAACATGTAGCTCCACACGCAATCAACATGTAGCTCCACACGCAATCAACATGTAGCTCCACACGCAATCAACATGTAGCTCCACACGCAATCAACATGCAGCTCCACACGCAATCAACATGTAGCTCCACACGCAATCAACATGTAGCTCCACACGCAATCAACATGTAGCTCCACACGCAATCAACATGTAGCTCCACACGCAATCAACATGTAGCTCCACACGCAATCAACATGTAGCTCCACACGCAATCAACATGTAGCTCCACACGCAATCAACATGTAGCTCCACACGCAATCAACATGCAGCTCCACACGCAATCAACATGTAGCTCCACACGCAATCAACATGCAGCTCCACACGCAATCAACATGCAGCTCCACACGCGCCTTTGTCTGCAGCTCTGAGAGATTGTTTAGAAATCCCAGTATTCTTGTAAAAAAAAAAAAAGAATTGTATAGTTAAGTTTTAAAAGCCAAAAATCCCTGACCCCAACCCCAGCCCTAGCCCTAACGCTATCCCTGACCCAAACCCAAACCCCAGCCCTAGTCCTAACGCTATCCCTGACCCCAGCCCCAACCCTAGCCCTAACGCTATCCCTGACACTGGCCCCAACCCTAGCCCTAACGCTATCTCGACCCCCAACCCCAGCCCTAGCCCTAACGCTATCCCTGACCCAAACCCAAACCCCAGCCCTAGTCCTAACGCTATCCCTGACCCCAGCCCCAACCCTAGCCCTAACGCTATCCCTGACCCCAGCCCCAGCCCTAGCCCTAACGCTATCTCGACCCCCAACCCCAGCCCTAGCCCTAACGCTATCCTGACCCCCAACCCCAGCCCTAGCCCTAACGCTATCCTGACCCCCAACCCCAGCCCTAGCCCTAACGCTATCTCGACCCCCAACCCCAGCCCTAGCCCTAACGCTATCCTGACCCCAGCCCCAGCCCTAGCCCTAACGCTATCCTGACCCCAGCCCCAGCCTTAGCCCTAACACTATCCCTGACCCAAGCCCCAACCCTAGCCCTAGAATAAATGGTCTATTGTCTATTTACAAAGGGCCTCTGTCTGTTTGCTTGGAGTGTGGCTGTATACAACTATTTCTATGGAGTCAAATTCCGGATGTACTGATTGGTCGAATTAAATCTCTAACTATTGATACTGAAAGCTTTAAAGACGAAAAGATGAAAACGCTGCAGTTTACACAAATACAGATCGCCACAAACACATCACTCCTGTCCTGGTGTCACTGGCTTCATTTACACACATAGTACACAGTTTTGTACAGTGTCTGACCCTTTGGTTTGTTTTGTTCTTTTGTGTTTCTTTGCACGGTGAAGATCAGATTCAGATTCAGATTCATTTATTTGCCATTTGCAGTAAAACCACATTGGAAAAACTGTGCAAGACTACCCCGGTGTGCACCAAATGAATGCAGAATGCAGAACTTTGGGTTTTTGATGTTGGCTTTAACATTCACATCAGGGCTCAGAAAATAAAAAAATTATGAATGAATATTACATGTGCTTTGACGCTAACGGGGTTGAGCTAGCGGCGTTTTGTGTTCCTATAACAGCAGAGTGAGTTCATGGAGCTGCACTATGGATTTATTTTATTATTTACCAGGATTTAGCACTGGTTTAGTCCTGGTTTAGTCACAGGAGAAACTCAGGCTGGAGGCATAGGTTCACAAGCACTGTCTCGTCCATTGTCCTGGTTTAGCCCTGGTTTAGTCCTGGTTTAGTCTTGGTTTTGTCCTGGTTTTGTCCTGATTTAGTCCTGGTTTAGTCCTGGTTTATTCCTGGGTTAGTCCTGATTTAGTCCTGATTTAGTCCTGGTTTAGTCCTGATTTAGTCTTGGTTTAATCCTGGTTTAGTCTTCAGATCAAAGTACTATACTCACACCAAAGTACTATACTCACACTAAAGCACTATACTCACATCAAAGTACTGTACTCACATCAAAGCACTATACTCACATCAAAGCACTATACTCACATTCGTGCACTATACTCACATCAAAGCACTACACTCACACTAAAGCACTATACTCACATCAAAGCACTGTACTCACATCAAAGCACTATACTCACATCAAAGCACTATACTCACATTCGTGCACTATACTCACATCAAAGCACTACACTCACACTAAAGCACTATACTCACATCAAAGCACTGTACTCACATCAAAGCACTATACTCACATCAAAGCACTATAGTCACATCAGTGCACTATACTCACATCAGTGCACTATACTCACATCAAAGCACTATACTCACATCAAAGCACTATACTCACATCAAAGCACTATACTCACATTAGTGCACTATACTCACATCAAAGTACTATACTCACATCAAAGCACTATACTCACATCAAAGCACTATACTCACATCAAAGCACTATACTCACATCAAAGCACTATACTCACATTAAAGCACTATACTCATATCAAAGCACTATACTCACATCAGTGCACTATACTCACATCAAAGCACTATACTCACATCAAAGCACTATACTCACATCAAAGCACTATACTCACATCAAAGCACTATACTCACATCAAAGCACTATACTCACATCAAAGCACTATACTCACATCAAAGCACTATACTCACATCAAAGCACTATACTCACATCAAAGCACTATACTCACATCAGTGCACTATACTCACATCAGTTCACTATACTCACATCAGTGCACTATACTCACATCAGTGCACTATACTCACATCAAAGCACTATACTCACATCAAAGCACTATACTCACATCAAAGCACTATATTCACATCAATCAATCAATCAATCAAATTTTATTTATAAAGCGCTTTTCATACAAAAAGTGTAACACAAAGTGCTTTACAGTTTAGTTAAAAACAATCCAACATGCCCAGCCCTAAACCCTCCTCCCCACAGACCCCCCAAAACCACATTTATAATTATATATACAATACACACACCCACACACACACACACACACACATATACACAAGTATAAAGTCATATCAGGTAAAATAGGTAAAACAATAAAAAGAAATGGGGCTGGGAGCAGATGTAACCGGCTGAAGAAGCGTCATCCAAGGAGCCATCTGCACCAGGAGCAGAGAGCCGGCTGCAGCCACAGGCAACGACACAGGACCCAGAGGAGAGAGGGGCCCCAGACCCCACCAGGCCCAGGACTCAGACCCCATAGGACCCAGAGGAGAGAGGAGGCCCCAGACCCCCACCGGATCCAAGAGCCAGACCCCCGAAGCCACAGCAGACCCCAGCTCTCAGTGCAGAGGGCTCCTCCAGAGGAAACACTGGGGACACTAAGGCCCTGTCCACACGAAGTCAAGCTCAGGCCTAAACGCAAAAATACTTTATCAATCCAGTGTATCGTCCATACGAGGCCGGCGTTTTGGGGGGGTGTAAACGAACATTTTTGAAACCAGGTCCCAGAGTGGAAAGATTTCAAAACTCCGTATATGCCGCTCCGTGGTTACTGCCTCTCCGCAACGTATCTGAGACGCTTGCGTCATCGCCCCGCCTGTTGTTAAAGCACGCATGCGCCGCACTCAGAAAATAATGACAACAACAATGTAGCTTGTTGGTTTTGTAATCCAGTGTGACCCGAAGCAACAGTTCAACCTCATCGTCCGTCCATACTAATGTAGTACCAGCTCGCCCACTCGCCATGTTGTCTGTTTACAAAATTCCTCGCATGCCCAGTTCCCGTCACGGAAGTTTGGGCTTGATCCCGTCATTGCGTCACAGCGCCACCAACAGGTCTGGCATAGTTTCACAGCGTTTTCAGGCGTATTGACTACATTCATATGGACGCACACATTTACTGAGCTAACTCCGTGTTTACAGAAAAAGTTTCTGAAATTATAAGCGTTTTGTCTTCGTGTGGATATAGCCTAAAACAATACAATAATGCAATAGAAAGTAGAACAATAAAATGTGAAAATAAAAAGAAAAATGGCAGCTGCCTAATATTGATAATAACAATAGTAAATGGGTAGATACAATAAATAATTAAAAATAGTAAATAATAAAATTAAATAAAAATATAATCCGTCTAAAAACATAAATAGATGTACTAAAAAGCAATAATAGATAATAAATACTAATCAAAAGCTGCTCTAAAAAGGTGCCTCTTGAGCCTACTCTTAAAAATATGAACGTTCTCTGCGGCCCTGAGCTCCTCCTCAGACTGTTCCAGAGACGGGGGCCGTAGTGCTGGAAAGATGCCTCACCGTGAGTGTGTGTCCTGACTTTGGGGATGGTTAGGAGTCTGCTGCCGGAGGAGCGCAGGGGCCGGGAAGGTTCATAGGATAAAAGCAAATCTGAAAGATAAGAAGGCCCAAGACCATTAAGACATTTAAAAACCATTAAAAGAACCTTAAAATCGATCCTGAAACACACGGGGAGCCAATGCAGCGATTTTAAAACCGGTGTAATGTGGTCCCGCCCCCTGGTCTTAGTCAGGACACGTGCGGCCGAGTTTTGAAGTAATTGTAAACCTGAAATGTTCTTTTTGGGAAGACCAGAGAGCAGGGCATTACAGTAGTCAATGCGACTGGTGATAAAAGCATGCATCAGCGTCTCCGTGTTGGCCCGAGAGAGAATGGGGCGGACTCTGGCGATGTTCTTTAAATGATAAAAACCTATTTTTGTGATGTTCTTGATGTGAGGAATAAAAGTCAGCTCAGAGTCAAAGATTACGCCCAGGTTTTTCACTTGTGATGATGGATTAAAAGAGTGTGATTGGAGTTTCGGTAAAAGTTTCTCTCTCTGGGCCTCAGGGCCGATGACTAAAACCTCAGTTTTGTCCTGGTTGAGCTGGAGAAAGTTTTCTGCCATCCAGGATTTCAGGTCTAAAATGCAGTTAAAAAGAGCATCCATTGGCCTGGTGTCATCAGGAGACATGGAGATGTACAGCTGTGTATCATCTGCATAGCTGTGGAAGTCAATTCCATGTCTCCTGATGACACCGCCAAGAGGGAGCATGTACAGGTTAAAAAGGACTGGACCTAAAATGGAACCCTGGGGCACACCACATGTGATTTTATGGACCTGAGAGGAGCAGGTATCCAAACTTACCATGAAGGATCTGTCTGTTAAATAAGAAGTGAACCATTTGTGGACAGCACCAGAGAGGCCGAGGTGTTGTAGGCGTGATAAAAGAATGGTGTGGTCTACTGTGTCGAAGGCAGCGCTAAGATCCAGTAGAACCAACACGGTCACCTTTTTAGAATCATAATTTAGTCTAAAATCATTTAAAATCTTTAAAAGAGCAGTCTCTGTGCTGTGGTTCACCCTAAATCCTGATTGAAATTTCTCTAAAATTTGCTGCTGATCTAAAAAGGCATTGAGCTGGGTAAAAACGAGTTTTTCTAAAATTTTGCTTAAAAATGGTAGGTTGGATACCGGTCTGTAGTTGTTAAAATCATTAAAATCCAAATTGCTCTTCTTCAGAAGGGGCCTCACCACAGCCGCTTTGAAGGCTGCAGGAAAGACCCCAGTCTGAAGAGAGCAATTCATCAGGTTTAAAAGCTCCTCTCTAAAAGATTCATAAAATGACTTAAAAAATGGAGTGGGGACTGGATCTAAAAGACATGTGGTGGGCCTCACTGAGGAGAAAACTTTATCAAGCATCTCAGCATCAACCAGGACAAAACTGTCCAGTGTTTCCTCTGGTGAAGACAAACAATCGGATGTGTTAAAAACAGTTGTGCGGTTGGATAAAATGTTACATCTGATTGTATTTATCTTCCCCATGAAGTGGACTGCAAAATCCTCACAGAGGGAGTCTGTGGGGGTTAAAAGAGACATGCTAAAATCAGGGTTTAAAATGGTGTCGATGGTTGAAAAGAGGATTTTTGGATTATTTTTGTTCTGGCTGATTAGTTTTGCAAAGTAATTGTTCCTGTTTTTCCTGATTGTGTTGTTGTAAATTTGCTGTCGGTTTTTATATAT